CAAGTCCTTCGGTTGATCTCTTCCCCTTACCCCTGCCCTACCCTACTTTCCTTCTGGGGATTGATAGCCTGATCGCTGTTTCTCAGTCTTTGGATCTGTCCCTTTTCATCAGTCTATGTGGTTCTCTATAATCCACAAATGAGTGAGATCATGTGCTATTTTTTCTAATTCTTTATTATTAAGAAGTTGTAGTGCCATGGTCTTCATTTGTGCTAGCTTCATCATTGAGGGCTTTTTTTTTTTTTTTATGGTGTAGAGGGTACTTTCTGTTTCTTCAGTAACTAATCCATTGAGCAGGCACTCTGTATTGTAATGCATTTTGCAACATTCTCTTACATACTTCTCTTAGGCATCCTATAACATTGAGATGATTATTTCCTTTCACATGAAGAAAGTGAGGCTTAAGAGCATTAAGTAACTTATCCTGAGATCACAGAATAGGTAGTAGTAGAGCTGGAACCCAAATCACTCTGACTGTACATCTCATGGTGGGTGTGTTGTTGTTTTTTAAAAAAATATTTTTATTGATTTCAGAGAGGAAGGGAGAGGGGGAGAGAGAGAAACATCAATGATGAGAGAGAATCATTGATTGGCTGCCTCCTGCACGTCCCCTGCTGGCATCAAGCCCACAATCTGGGCATGTGCCCTTGACCGGAATCGAACCCGGGACCCTTCAGTCTTCAGGCTGACACTCTATCCACTGAGCCAAGCCAGGTAGGGCTACATCTCATGGTTTTAACCACTGGGCTAGATTTCTGGTCTTTCAGTTCAGAACATTAGTGAATAAAACACCCAAATTACTTCTTCCTCCAAGTCCTCTTGGTGCTTTAGGCACAGTGCCATGTGACCTCCTCCACAAAGCCTTTGCTGACCTCTGCCTTTCTCCACATGCTCTCCCTTCTTTCTTGTGAGTAAAGGAAGCCTCACATTTCACATTTCACATTTCACATGCTCTGAGTCCTGTAGCAGTTGTAGCACAGACCATCAGTCCTGGTCTCTGTATCTTCCCAAAGCGCCTAGCACAGTGTCTTGCATGTAGAGTTGGTGCTCAATGCGTGTTGGTAGAATTATAGAATGGACGATTTCCTTGTCGCCACCAGCCTAGGACACGTCAGTAGTTCTGTGCTGACCCTGCTTTTGTGCTTTTAAATAAAGTAACATGAAATAATTACAACAAATACTTTAATATCTTGTTATTTAAAGCTTATATTTCAAGTTAAATTTATTGGGGTAACATTGGTTAATAACATTATATAAATTTCAGGTGTACAGCTTGATAGTATGACATCTATATACAGTATTGCGTGTTCGCCTCCGGAAGTCACCATGTATTTCACCTCCTTTAACCTTGTCCTCACTCCAATGCCCTGCCCCTCTGGTAACCACTATTCTGTTGTCCGGGTCTATGAGTTTGCTTTTTTCTTTGCATGTCTCCATTTTGTTTTTATATTCCACATATGAGTGGAATCATGCAGTTTGTGTCCTTTTCTTTCTGACCTATTTCAGTTAGCATAAAACTCTCAATATCCATCCATGTGTGTATGTTTAAAAAATTTTATTTTATTGATTTGAGAGAGAGAGGGGGGGGGGGAAGAGGAGAGGTGTGGGGAGAGAGAGAGACAGAAATATTGATTTTTTTGTTCAACTTATTTATGCATTCATTGGTTGATTCTTTTTTTTTTTTTTAAATATATTTTATTGACTTTTTACAGAGAGGAAGGGAGAGGAATAAAGAGTTAGAAACATTGATGAGAGAGAAACATCGATCAGCTGCCTCCTGCACACCCCCTACTGGGGATGTGCCCGCAACCAAGGTACATGCCCTTGACCGGAATCGAACCTGGGACCTTTCAGTCCGCAGGCCGACGCTCTATCCACTGAGCCAAACGGGTTAGGGCGGTTGATTCTTGTATGTGCTCTGACGGGGATCGAACCTCAGTGTTGGTGTATCAGGATGACACTAGCTAACTGAGCTACTCAGCCAGGGCCAAGATCCACTCATGTTGTTGCAAATGGAAACACTTTTTTTTTTTTATGACTGAGTAGTAGTCCATGGTATATATGTGTCATATATTATTTGTCGGAGGACATTAAGGCTGTTTCCATGCCTTGGCTATTGTAAATAATGCTGCAATGAACATAGAGGTACATTCATTTTTACGAGTGTTTATTGTCCCAAACATTGTGGGTATTTTAAAAATTTTTTAATTACAGTTGACATTCAATATTATACTAATTTCAGGTGTACAGTATACTGATTAGACATTTATATAACTTACAAAGTGAACCCCCTGGTAAGTGTAGTACCCACCTAACACCATACATAGTTATTACAGTATTATTGATTATCTTCCCTGTGCTGCTATACTTTACATCCCTGTGACTATTTTATAACTATCAATTCGTACTTCTTAATCCCCTCACCTTTTTCACCCAGTCCCCCCACACCCCTCCCATTTTGTTCTTTATATCTATGAGTCTTGTTCCTTCATTTACTTTGTTTTTTAGATTCCACATATAAGTAAAATCATATGGTATTTGTCTTTGTCTGTCTGACTTATTTCACTTAGCATAATACCCTAGGTCCATGCGTGTTGTGAGAATGTAAGACTTCATTCTTTTCTATGGCTGAATATTCCATTATATATATGTACCACTTCTTTATCCAGTTGTCTCTCATTGGTTTATTAGGTTTCTTTCATATCTTGGCTATTGTAAATAATTCTACAGTGAACATGTGAATGCTATATCTTTTGGATTTCTTTGGGTAAATGCCCAGAAGTGGAATTGCTGGGTCATGTGGCAGTTCTGTTTTTAATTTTTTGAGGAACTTCTATACTGCTGCACCAACTTGTATCCCACTAACAGTGCATGATGGTTTCCTTTTCTCCTCATTTTCGCCAACACTTATTTGTTGATTTATTGATGACAGCCATTCTGACATGTATGAGGTGATATCTCATTGTGGCTTTAACTTGTATGTCTCTGCTGGTTAGTGATGTTGAGTATCTTTTCATGTATTTGTTGACCATCCGTATGCCCTTTTTGGAGAAATGTCTATTTAGGTCCTCTGCCCATTTTTTAATTAGATTGTTTGTCTTTTTGGTGATAAGTTTTATGAGTTCCTTATGTAGTTTGGATATTAACCCCCTATCGGATATATCATTAGTGAATATTTTCTCCCATTTAGTAGGTTGTCTTTTTGTTTTGTTGATGGTTTTGCTATGCAGAAATTTTTATTTTGATTTAGTCCCATTTGTTTATTTTATTTTATTTTTTATCATAAATGGATGTTGAATTTTGTCAATGCTTTTTCTAAATCTCCTGATATGATCATATGACGAATATAGTTCATTTTGTTTATGTGGTGTATCACATTAACTGACTTGTGGATATTGAACCAACCTCGTATCTTGTGAATAAATCCCACTTCATTGTGGTATGTGATCTTTTTTACTTATTGATGAATTCAGTTCGCTAATATATTGCTAAAGACTATTTGTATCTATGTTCATCAGGGGTATTGGCCTATAATTTTCTTTTTTGGTCGTGTCTTTGTCTGTTGTTATCAGGGTAATGCTGGCTTTCTCAAATGAGTTTGGGAGCCTTTCCCTCTAGTTTTCTGAAATAGTTTGAGAAGGATAGGTATTAATTATTTTTTGAATGTTTGGTAAAAATCACCTGTGAAGCCATGTGCTCCTGGACTTTTGCTTGGAGGGAGTTTTTTGGTTACTGATTTGATATGGTTAGTAGTTAATGGCCTGTTCACTTTTTTGTTTCCCCCTGATTTAGCCTGAAAAGACCGTATGTTTTTAGAAATTTATCCATTTCTTGTAGGTTGTCCAGTTTGTTGGCATGTAATTGTTGGTGGTATTTCCTTGTCATCCTGCGTATTTCTCTGGTGTAGATTTGTCAGTCCTCTCCTCTTTCTGATTTTAGTTATTTGGCCCTCTCTCTTTTTTTCCTTCTGATGAGTCTAACTAAAGGCTTATTAATTTTGTTTACTTTTTCAAAGAACCAAGTTTCTGTTTTCATTTATCCTTTCTATTGTTTTGTAAGGCTTTCGTTTATTTCCACTGTGATCTTTATTATTTTCTTCCTTCCACTCACTTTAGACGTTGTTCTTCATTTTCTAGTTCCTTTAGGTTTAAGATTGGATTGTTTAGTTGAATTTTTCTTGTTACTTGAGGTCGGCCTGTATTGCTGTGAATTTCCCTCCTTCCTATGAATCGTTTTGGCTGTGGCCTATAGATTTTTGGCCATTAAGTTTTCATTTTCATTTGTCTCAAGTTATCTTTTGATGTCTTCCTGAATCTCATTGTTAACCCATTTGTTGTGTAGTAGCATGTTATTTATGTGTGTGTTTTAGTTTTCTTATAATTGATTTCTCGTTTCATGCTATTGTGATCTGATAAGATGCTTGATATGATTTCAGTCTTATTACATTTACTTAAGACTTGTTATGTGGCATAATGCACTGCAGAGTGATGATAGGGGACAAATGGGTGCCCTGAGAGCACTGAGGGAGGGGAGCCCAAATAAAGTTAGGGGTCAGGGAAGGCTTCCTCGAGGAAATGCCTTTCTAAACCGAACCCTGAAGGGTTAGCCGGCTAGGGGAGCCAAGTGCTCAGGCCGTGCTTCAGGGTGGAGAGCACGCTAGAGGGACAGAAGGTTATCTAGCACAGCTGGCGCTGGGAGTGCTGGGGGCTCAGGCCAGAGAGGTAGGAGGGCCAGCTTCCTTGTTGGAATGTAACTGTCTGTCTCTAGAGAAGAGAGCCCTTGGAGACAATACCGAGCCTCCTTCGGCTCAGGGTCCCCTTCCTGACAGAGCAGGAGCTGAGTGAATGTTGGTAGGTGTGTCGGTGGAGGCTGGGGTGGGGAGGTCGGGTGTGCCGTGACCTTGCCCCCTTGCTAAAGCAGGTAAGGGGCCTGGAGGTTGCCAGCTTCCCCGGCCACACCTGTCCCTGCCTCTGGGTCACCTGTGTGCTGTTGTCCTTCAGCCCTCGACAGCGAGTCTGCCTCCAGCAGCATCCGCTTCAGCAAGGCCTGCCTGAAGAACGTCTTCTCGGTCCTGCTCATCTTCATCTACCTGCTGCTCATGGCCGTGGCCGTCTTCCTGGTTTACCAGACCATCACAGACTTCCGCGAGAAACTCAAGCACCCTGTCATGTCTGTGTCGTATAAGGAAGTGGACCTCTACGACGCCCCAGGTAGAGCCTGCTGGGACAGGTGTCAGGGCGCAGGTCTGGGGCATCCGTTTGCAAATACAGCCTGAGCTGCCACTGCACTCCTAGCCCCGTGCTGAGCGCCACGGGCAGGGTGGAGGAGTCTGAGCACAGCCTGGGTGTAGGGACACCCAGAGAGCTGCCGCTGGCCCCCAGTAGAGTGTGTCCTGTGTCAGGGAGAGAGGTAGACAGAGCCTGGAGTGGCCACTGCAGAACTGGGGTGGGCAAGGAGCCGTTTGCACAGAGGCAGGATGTGAGCTGGGCTCTAATAGATGGGAAGAGAGTTTTTCTGGGAGGAGGATCAGCAGAGCAGAGGTGAGTGTGGGGAGGCTGAGGGTTTCTCTGGCGTGGCTGACACTGTCCTGCCTTTGCTCTCTATCTGTGGGCTACTCTGTGTCTGGTTTCCTGATCTCTGAGCTCTGCTGGGTCTGGTGCATGTGCTGTTCGCAGTGTTCCTGCCCCTGAGGTTGGAACAGCTACCATCAGTAGAGCCGTGAATGAGGAGCCTTGGGGGGGGTAAGGGATGAGGGCACACCTGGAGCTCCAGGCAGAGCAGGAGATAAGAGACAACCTGAGATCTGGGAGCCCCACATCGGGGCCTCCCACTGACTCTGCAGGTGTGTGGGTCCCAGGGATTGGCTCAGGTGCGGAGGCCCCCTCTGCGTGCAGAGAGCAGCGTTCTGGTGCAGGCGCAGGCGCCGGGGAGGCTCCCTGAGGAGGCCTGTGTCCTTCATTAGAGGAGGGCTTTCTGAGGGCAGAGGATGTGGCTTCCCCCCTCTGTAGCCTTTTCCTTCTCCCTCCCCTGCAGTCACCAGGGAGTCCTGAACTTAGGCTGATGGTGGGTGTGAGCAAATGAATGTGACATGATTTTAGGGTGTGGTCAGGGCCTGTGCCTCCTGACGTTCACTTTTCCATTTGCGCCCCCAGGGATTGCCCTGTACCCCGGTCAGGCCCAGCTGCTCAGCTGTAAGCACCATTACGAGGTCATCCCACCTCTGAGGAGTCCGGGCCGGCCCGGAGACGTGAACTGCACCACCCAGAGGATCAACTACACCGACCCTTTCTCCAACCAGACCCTGGTAAGGCTCCGGCGAGGCAGCGTGCCCTCTCGGCCCCGCACCCGAGGCCCCGTCTTCTTTCTGCCGGGTGGTTGGTGCGGGCCCTCGGCCGGTGAACACGGGGACAAGTGGGTCGTGGCCGTGGCTGGCTCACCTGCACTTGGTCAGAGTGACCCTGGGGGATTCTGTCCTGCAGGAGGGGCCCGTGTGTCGGGGCGGAGTGGGCCCCCTACCTGGCTGCTTGGGGAAACGGCCAGGGTGCTTTTGGAAAATGTCGATTCCCAGATTCCAGGCGAGGCCAACTGGTTCATTCCGGGCGAGGGGCCTGGGGATTCGTATTCTGAAATAAATAAGCCACTTAAGCAGGAGCGCTGGTCCGGGAGCCAGGACCACAGCCGGCCCTGCTGTCTCGCAGCCCATGGGACGCGGCGTGGGCGGCTGGGAGGGCGGCGCCTGCAGGGGTGTGAAGGCAGGGCAGGAGTTTGTATTTCTCACATCTTCCCTTTTGTGACCCATGTCCATGTTTCAGAAAGGATTGAACCAGGCCGAGCCAGGTTCTCCAGACCCAAGAGGAAGGAAAGGTTTTTAGGCAGAAGAACTCGGACCCAGACTCCCAGGGAGGAGCAGGGTGTGGTGTTGTGCCCCTGGGAAATTATAGGCGTTGGGCGTTTCCGGGGGTGCCGCTGTGATGGAAGGAAGGCCGGATGAGAGAAGCAAGCTTCTGGGTGGCAGGGAGCCGTGAGTGGGTCTTAGAGGAGTTTTGTTACTATTTATTCTAGGCTCCTCCTAAAATCCCGCTGAAATGATTCCCATTCCTGCAAAAAATGGAATGAAATAAAATATCCACAGGAGCCCTATGAGCCAGGAAAGGGTATCATGGGCTGACCAGACAGTTTGAGGATCAGGAAATAGAAACAGCAGGTCCAGTCAGGTTGGTGGAGTGAACAGATCGGAGGAAGCCCGTGCCTGGAGCAGATGCGAGAGGCCTGCTGCGGGGGCTCCTCGGTGGGGGAGGACAGCGAGGGGAGCCTGTGGGCTGGGCCCTCCTCTGTGGCTTCTGCTGAGAGACATCCCCTTCCTGAGTACCACCCCTCCCCCCAAACCCAGCCTGTAGCCCCGCCCAGGCCTCAGGTAGGAGGACCCCGGACCAGTGATGAGGCCCTGGAGTGGGACCTGCGAGAGCCCCTGTCTTTGCCAGCCCCTGGCCTTGTCCACCGGGAGGTCTGCTTGGCGGTCGTCCTCTGTGGCTATCGCTGGAGTGGGCATCAGAAGCATGCCCTCCCCGGGGCCAGAGCTTTGGGCACCCACTTTCTGCTGCAGAGGTGGAGGAGCGGCTGTGGGCTGCCCGGTCTTGGACTAGGTGGTTGGCTTGTTGTTCTTCTGCCCCCGCACCTTGGTTTGCGGTGAGATGTCTTGGGAAATGTGTGGTCTTCTGGCTGTTTGCGTGCCCTCACGTCCACGTGGAAGTGACCCGGGTGTCATCTGGTCCTCCTTTGTCAGTCTTCAGATTCTCATTTATTTTTTAGTCTCTTGTGCCCTTGGTTTAATCTAGTTAATGTTGACCAGCTGCTTTGCCTGGCACAGTTGGGGGCACGGCCTGGTCGGCCTGCAGGACTTGTGTGTGTGTCCTCACGGCCTGCCAGGTTTCCAGTGCCCGTATGGTAAGCTGATGCCTCCTTTGTAGGTGGTTGTCACCATGCACTCCAGTTCCAGACAACAGTTTACGTAACGGTCAGAGCCTAGGCTAAGCTACTGTACGAGAGCAGACGCCCCAAACGCACACAGTGGCTGAGACCAGAGAGAAGTCGGTGTCTTTCTCTGGGGAGCCCGGGTGTACAGGGGCGGTCACTCTGCCAGCCCCTGGGCGTTGTGCTGGTCCTGTGGTCAGCACTGGCTCACGGCCTGAGAGCACAGCCGGCCCAGAGGTGAGACCTGGAGGGCAAGACGCCGAGGGCCTGAGTCACTGCACATTCCAGGAACTTGGTCACGTGGCCACGTCTGAGGCCGGGAGTGGGGCCAGCAGGCGGCTGTGCTCTGCTGGAGTCGGGATGGGGAAGCGGTCCTAGGGCTGCAGGAGGAAGTGGATCATGGAAACAGGACAGTCAGCGTCCTCTGCTGCCACTTACCATGCGGAAAGGCTGAGGGGCGAGGTGGGCAGAGAGAGACATCTTAGGATAAGGCAGCAACAACACTGACCTCAGTTAAAAAAGAATTCCAGGTGCAAAGGGCGAAAAGAGGGACGTGTAATATGGATAAGGGTTCAACTCCACCACTCTTCCTGAGAAGATTTAACGGTCACCCATCTATCACTGCGTGCAAAGCAGCCTCCCAGTCGCATATTGTAGGCAAAACCTGTTAGAATAAAAAGTCCCATGACTGCCCGAGCTGGTTTGGCTCAGTGGATAGAGCATCAGCCTGTGGACTGAAAGGTCCCGGGTTCGATTCCAGTCAAGGGCACATGCCTGGGTTGCAGGCCTGATCCCCAGTGCGGGGCATGCAGGAGGCAGCTAATCAATGATTCTCTCCCATCATTGATGTTTCTCTCTCTCTCTCCCTCTTTCTTCCTCTCTGAAATAAAAAAAAGAAGTCCCATGACCCCAGAGCACGTGTAACACTTCTCAGAAACTCGCAGGTCAGGCTGACAGAAAGTAAGAGAACGATTGGAAAGTGCAGTGCGTGTGGAGCGGGTGTGTCTCGGTGCCTGACAGTGTCTTAGGTGCTCTTCACGTATCTTAGAGCCTGTATAAAAGTCGATGTTAAGATATTTCCCCCCAAATTACTCTATCAACCCAATATCATCAGTTAAAAGTCCCAGTTGAGTTTTCATGGAACTGAAGCTAGTGTTAAAATGCATGAGAAGAGCACGTGTACAAAACAGCCAGGTTTGGGGGTGAGCAGCCTGAGCAGGCGCCCTGCTCAGTCCGAGGTCACAGCGGGGAGAACCTGCAGCCATCAAACCTGCGTCTCCATTGTGTGGGTTTCACACCACAATACCAGACGATCTAAATGTGAAAAAGGTTAAAAAAAAGATACCATACAGAAATATAGAATAGTGATATAATTTTGATTTTCCTTAGCAAACAAAACACAGAAGCCTTAAAAAAAAGATTTGCAGATTTCACATCAAATTTAGAGCTTCATAAAGCAAATGATATTATAAGCAGAGTTAACTGGAAAGTGAGCGAATGGAAGACATCATTTGTCCATAAAACAGACGGAAGTTCCTATCCTTTCTCAACCGAGAGCTGCAGAGCGCAGCGGAGTGCACACAGCACAGCCGGGCTCCCTGAGGAGGAGCGGGCGGCGGTGCCCTGGGGCCACTGGGCTTTCCAGGCCCACCCCCGAGTGTCCCAGGCTGAGAGTCCGGCCTCTGTCTCTGCAGAAATCCGCCCTGATCGTGCGGGGGCCGCGGGAGGTGAAGAAGCGGGAGCTGGTCTTCCTCCAGTTCCGCCTGAACCAGAGCAGCGAGGACTTCAGCGCCATCGATTACCTCCTCTTCTCCTCCTTCCAGGAGTTCCTGCACAGGTGGCCGCTCCAGCCTCGCACAGCCCCGTGGGGGTGGAGGTGCAGGGGGGAGGCCGGGGGCTAGCGGGCCAGCGGGCCCTCGGGACTGCTGAAGCCCAGAGTCCTCTGAGGAGCCCGAGAGGAAGCGGGCATTCTCCCACTGGGGCCTTCAGGGGCCGGCCTGCCTGGAGGTGGGCGACAGCTCCCTCTCCGTTTGGAAACCCAGAAGCAGAGCGTGGAGGAGGCGGTGGGAAGCGTCCGGGCGATGCCAGCAGGGAGACCAGATGAAGCAGGGCCGGAGCGCGTGGGCCGCGTTGAATCCCACGTCAGGCCTGATGAGCTTGGACCTTTCTCCTCTGCCCTCAGCCCAGACAGGGTGGGCTTCATGCAGGCCTGTGAGAGCGCCTCTTCCAGCTGGAAGTTCTCCGGGGGCTTCCGGACCTGGGTCAAGATGTCCCTGGTGGAGACCAAGGAAGAAGACGGGCGAGAAGCAGTGGAGTTCCGGCAGGAGGTCGGTGGTGCTGGGTGGGTCACGCTGCTGGTCGTGCAGCCTGAGTGGGGCGGGGAGCTCCCCAGGGAGGGGGCCTCTGTGCAGGGTCTGAGGCTGAGAGCGGACCATGCAGGAGCTCACGCGTTCTGTAGGCAGCACCCATGCCAAGCGTCTCCCTCTGTTACAGCCAGGCCCAGCACAACACGGGGAGCAGCGAGCCCTGCGGGGTGCAGAGACCAGCACCTGACGCCACCGAGCAAGCCCAGCGCTGAGAGGCTGGCGGCCGCCTAGAGCAGCGGTTCTCAACCTGTGGGTCACGACCCCTTTGGGGGTTGAACGACCCTTTCACAGGGGTCGCTTAAATGCATCCTGCATATCAGATATTTACGATTCTTAACAGTAGCAAAATTACAGTTATGAAGTAGCAACGAAAATAATTTTATGGTTGGGGGTCACCATAACATGAGGAACTGTTTTAAAGGGTCGCAGCATTAGGAAGGTTGAGAACCACTGGCCTAGAGGGTTGGGTATTTGCAGGGAAGAGAGACTAGATGCAGTGGCACTTGACTGTCTGGGCATGATGGTCCATTGGGATGCAGGGGTAAAATACTAGCTTTCTAAAAAAAAAAAAATCAACTTTTTTATAAAATACATTGCTTTTATGCAAGTTATTCTTTTTTAAAAAATGTCTGTTGATTTTAGAGAGCAGAAGGGCGAGAGAGAGAGATGTTGATGGGTTCCTCTTTGGGCACCCCAACCTGGGATCGACCTACAACCTAGGTACGCCCTCGGACTGAGGATCAAGTCTGCAACCTTTCGGTGCCCGGGATAATGGTCCAACCAACAGCCACACAGGCCAGAGCTAACTTTTTAATTTATTGATTTGAGAGAGAAAAACATGGATTTATTGTTCGCCTTGTTTATGCGTTCATTGGTTGCTTCTTGTATGTGCCCTGGCCAGGTTTGAACCCGAAACCTTGGTGAATCGGTAACCAACTGAGCTACCCAGCCAGGCCTTTAAAAAATTTTTTTTTATAAAAGAGTTTGAGTCAAACTGACATCATGTTTGGGGAACAATATCTCAAATCCTCTCTCTTTTTGTATTTTTTAATGTAATTTTTCTATTTTTCAGTGTTTTATAATGCATATAGCAATAGAACAGTAATGCTAATATTACATCACTTCTAAAGTTACAAATATGTTGGGTGCATGTTCAGAAATTTTTCCTAATGGGACCCGTGTGCCTAAGGCTTTCACCCCACTGGCCTGGAGCTAGGAGATATGGGGGTCTCCAGCCCTCCTCCCCCCGTGAGAGCCAAGAGGAACTTAGAAAAGGGCATGGCAGTGGGGATCGAGGGGTGGGACAGGGGTGTTTGTCAGTGACCACCAAAAGCATGGCCACACCCCTATTGCTACATCCATTATAAAACATTGAAAAATAGAAAAATTAGATTAAAAAATACACAAAGAGGGAGGATTTGAGATGTTGCTCTCAGGCATGATGTCAGTTTGACTCAAACTCTTTAACAAACTCTTTCGGGCTTCCACCATAGCAGTGGCTTTCTGCCTCTTGCCTGAGTCCACACCCACACCCCCTGTGTCCGTGGCTGGAGCCAGCAGAGGCTGCGAGGAGATGGATGGGCCTGTGCTCACACCCTCTGCTCCTCCTTGGAGCTGGTCCATCTGGACTGGGCTCTAAGGGGCAGCGTTAGGAAGCGCTGGGTTGGAATAGGACCCACTCTGGTCAACGGGGCTGTCCTTGGCCAGAAGCCACGCGCTTGTCCGGGTCTGGCCCTTCCTGTGCCCGGCTCCTAGGACTGCACCAGGTAGAGCTTTGGGAAGGGCAGGGAGCCAGGTTTCTTCAAGGCACAGCTTTCTTCCTGCCTTAGGATGTAATGGCTCCCAGGACAGTAGGCCCTTACGATATTCCTAGTTTGTAAGATAACTCAGATCCTGAATTTCTACTCCCCTTTCCTCCAAGAATGCTAAGCCTTTCCTGTCTGGGCCCAACAGCTGAGAAAGGAGCTTCCGTGTGTTCACCTCACAGCGAGGTGCCGTCCCATCCACCAGGCTTTCCTGGTAGCCCCAGCCGTGAGCTGAACCCACAGGGGCCCAACCCCGCCAGCCTAGACGTTGCAGAACATTTTATGTGCTTTTTATTACAGGCTCCGTTGGAAGCCTTTGGCAGGGCACAGGAACTTGAACACAGTTTCAAATGTTTTATATCAGGTTTTAAAGTTTAAGGTTCTTTCATGTGTATTGCTTCCTGTGATCTTCTCAGGGCTCAGTGAGGAAGGCAGAGCAGAGGCTCAGTTCAGATGCTGAGCGCAGCCTTTCCGGCTGGGGCTGGGCTCCTGTCTGCTCTCCCTGCCACCACGCAGACCCGTCCGTCATGGGCAGCCAGATCTCCCTGAGCACAGCCACTCACGGTTCACGGGGAGCACTCGCCACGTGGATCCAGGCGGCGCTGGTCCCTGTCGACTCAAAGGTTAAAATGCGCAGCTCTTAGGATTGAGTATTTTGAAGTTTAGGATTTTTATGGCTTTTAGTTGTGAATCTTACACAGTCTTACACTTTGAATATGATTTAATCAGTGACGATCCCAAATCCCCCTCGTTTCCCCAAAGCACTATGGAAACCACGGGAAGGCCCGGGCTCTGGTGCCAGGGTCAGGGTGTGGTATGTATGAGATGTGGGGCTCGCTCCTCCCAAGATGGTGTGAGGAGAGCCACGGTCTGAGACCTCCTGGCCATGCCTCCCTTTCCCGTGGCCCCGGCCAGGTGACAGTTTTTCTCCTCTGTTCCTAGACGAGTGTGGTCAACTACATTGACCAAAGGCCGGCCGCCGAAAAAAGCGCCCAGCTGTTTTTTGTGGTCTTTGAATGGAAAGATCCTTTCATCCAGAAAGTGCAAGATGTGAGTATTGTTTAAGATGGAGAGGCTCTTCATCTCCTTTCCTCGCCCAGATCAGTTGTGTTGGTGGCATTCGTGGTCTGTCATTTGTGTTTAATTGGTCTTATCTTCATCACTAGACTGTGGCCCCAGGAAGGTGGGGACTTTGTCTTTTGTTCATCATTTATTTGGTGTCTAGCACAGTGCCTGGCACAGAGGAGCTGCTCAGTGGTGATAATAATTGAATGACCCAAGCAGAAAGCATTGAGCTACTGTTCTAATTACTGCTGTTTGGAAGCCGTTCTTTTTAAATGGTTGTCTGTAGGATGAGAACTTATTTGTGATAAGAGAACAGAAAGGTACAAATAAAAAATTAACAGAGTATCAGTTAATGCCAGATTCTCAGACTGAAGGGGCACTAATGAGTCAGCTTTGCCAAAGGAGCATTCGTAAGACGCCATCCACCAGAGGCAGTCCCAGAAACACTGATTGGCGTTCAGCTCATCACACAATGTCCGGCGTGGCCTTGCTCGGGGCAGGCATTTCAGAGCCAGGACTGACACAGGGAAGGTCTCTGTGACTAGGGTGTGCTCCACGGCCACCCACCAACACCGTTATCCGTGCATTGGCCAGGCTTGTGCGAGGCTTTGGGAATCAGGACTCTGAGTAGAGGAGTAAACGCCTTCAGCTCTGCACGTAAATCATGTGAGCAGACGTTTTTAACCTATATTCAGTGGGCGGTGCTTGTAATGGGCCGGTGCTCAAGGCCTGCCTGGCGCTGTCACTCAGCTTCACAACGGTCCCCAACAGTGGAGGCGATGCAGCCACCCAGGGTTCAGGTGGGCTGAGGTCGCCCTGCGAGACTGAACAGTGCTCTGTACCAGGATGGGGATCTCAGAAAGCCAAATAGGATGTCGGCCGTGGAGAGTCCAGCTTTCCGGAGGGCGCCACCTGTAGCTGTGAAGGGACCAATTCCAGACAGCCAGTGCCTCTCAAAGGAGACGGGGGTAAATATCTGCTGCGTCGGAGGAGCTTGGAGGATTGGAAGCTCTAGGCAGAGGAAAGCATACAGGCGGGGAAGGGGGCACAGCCTGGAGGCAGGGGTCCTGAGGGGAGTGTGGAAGGACGGCCACCGGACTGGGCGGGAGGAGACGTGCGAGTCACTACGAGAGGGGAGGAAAACGAGAGGGGCCGCTCTTCTTACGGGTTTAGTTTTGGAGAAATTTGTCTTAAAGCAAGGTCACTGGTTGGGGGCCAAAACCATTAGCGCTCAGCACCGAGTATCTTATTTGTGCACGGCTATCTTAAAGCGTTTTTTCTTTCGGAGTCACTGTTGTAGGGAGGGCTGCTTTCCCCTCACACTGAGCTGTGGACATAAAAGTATGATGGAGTGTGTGGAGTTACAGTTTCAGAACTCAGGTGGTTTTCTCGTCACCCCATTGATACTGGTATCACCTAAGACTCAAAACTGAAGCAAACTAATAAACTTGAGTTGGTTCTGTCTTACAGATAATCACAGCCAATCCTTGGAACACAATTGCCCTTCTCTGTGGGGCCTTCTTGGCATTATTTAAAGCAGCAGAGTTTGCCAAACTGAGTGTGAAGTGGATGATCAAAATTAGGAAGAGATACCTTAAAAAAAGAGGTCAGGCCACGAACCACATAAGCTGAAGTCACCTTGTCCATGGAACTGCCCACATTAATGGAGGTTCTCACCACTTCCACTTTGATAAACTGAGCTACCAGCCTCCTGAACTCACCTGGAGAGATGGCCCTGCTGGGAGGAGCTGCTGGGGAACAGATCCAGTGGATAACCTACAAGTTATTTAAGCACTTAAATTATTAGGAAGTTTTGCCTAGGACATATGGATAGGGTTTGTGGAAGATGGAACTAGGGCTGGTTTCTGAAGGTTTGTCGACTCTGCCTTTCTTTCTGGTTTGGTATCTAGCTCAGCTACAACGGCTGTTAAGGCTCTGTGTTTACCTTGGGCTTTCCCCCCCCCCCCCCGAGGTTTTTAAGTGGATGGACAAGGGTGTGGCTATTGAGATGTGTAGGTCACGCTTTGAAACCTGAGCACTTTACACAAGGAAAGACAAACACCCTTATGTCTCTGGCATCTCTGCTGTTCCCATCGTCCGGTCTCTGACAAGTTTTCTCCTTTGTTAAATGTTAAATGAGACCTTTAAAGCTAATACTATAATTAGATTTCCTGTGGACTCACTAGCCATCTCTCTGGTTAGAGTTTTTGTTGATGCAGGTATAAGAGTTTAGAGTGATTAACACGCAAAAGCACTAGTGTGAATGTACAGAGTTAGGTGCCTATTCAATGTATTTTGATGATTTCATTAACAGGTAAATAAAAGTAAGGTTAATACAAAAGGAATCAGTGTGCCAGTATGAATATGTTAAATCAGTAGGCACCAGTACACTTTCCTTCTGTGGCCTCCAAATAGAAGGCGGTGTGAGCCTGGACTCCTGAGATGGATGGATCTGGTCCCCGAGGTATGGCCTGACTGCGCCCAGGGAAGAGTAGGGTGGGCAGGACAGTGGATGGGAAGAATGATGGCTCAAGCCCCATGCATCAGCTGTTAACTCTACAAAACCACCCGAGTATTTTTCACATGGTAGCCATTGGCTGATTTAAGGTTATGAAATTGTTTCCAGAGTTTTAAATTATTTACATGCCCTTTGCAGCCAAAGAGGACTTGGTAGCATTTCCTGAATTTCATAATCTGCCTTTAGGTAACTCAAATGTGTGACTGGGTATTTTTTTTAAATCTCATGTCTAACTTAGCAGCATGAAGCTGGTTTTTGGCTGGATTATTAAAAGTGAACTTGTGTACAGAAATATTCCCTGCTGCTTTTTTATGCCATAGAGCAGCGGTCGCCAACCTTTCGGACCTCACGGACCACTGGTTGGCGACTGCTGCCATGGGGCGTGCAAATTCAAACTTTAGCCTAGGTCTCCTCTCTAAAAATCTTGCTGTAAGGCAAATGCAAAGCCAGGCATAAAAGCATACATTAACAGTATTGAAAACCAGATGTGTATTCGTAAAGTATCTCTGAAAATGACACATCACTTTAATATTAGTTAATATTTATAAAATGGCAAATAAAATTTGCTCCAATGAACAGCCTAAAACTGAATTTTCTATATTGTGGAAAGTTGAGACCTCTGAATTGTGCTTTAGAGTCAGTAGATAACTAGGAAGTGAGCAGTTCTAACTCATCAAAGAAAAGCAGCTAACAACTATTAGCTGCAGCCTGCCGAAGTCCACTCTGGCTGCTCTTCAGTAAAAGAGGTGTGCGCCTAAACCGTCCACAAATGGACAGTTAGCCCCAACGTTCACTGTCTGGAAAGGCTTGCCTTTCATTCTTGTTCTGCAGTCAGATCACTCTTCTGCCTGCACCGCCCCAGCTGTCCGCAGTGCCGGCTGGCCGTGGGTTAGTGTGGAGGATCCGGCAAGAGCACCGTGGTCTGGATGTCTCAGGTAAGGTGGCTGCTTGAGAACACCATGAAGTATGAGCCGCAGACTGAGAAGGAAGCATTCTCGGGAGCCACAGAGCGACGGGGGTTGCTTTTACAAGGACCTGAGGACTGTGCAGAACCTGTGCTAGAGCTTTCCGTGGGTATGAAAGGGTGGAATCAGACACCAGTCGTTGAAAACTTTGAGAACGCCTGACCTCTGATTCTGCTACAGTCTCCCTGCCCCTCACAAAAACTGTTATTACAGATTTTCAGATTTATCCTCCTGGGTCTATTTAAAACTAACATTTAAGGTAAGTAAAATCTATCCTCTGAACATAAAAGGACATGAAGGATATCCTAGAACTTAGGGTTTTATGCAAATATTCTATAAAACAGATATACGTTGATAAATGGCTGGAACACTCAATCTGGCACAATCTTCCTATTTTTTTAGACTATATCCTGCAACTTGCCTTAAACTTTCATATATATATATATATATATACACATATATATATATAACACACACACACGTATGAATGATGTATGTATATATATGAAGGGGGCAGCTTCTTCTGAATGCCTAAACTTAGAGTTAAAAAATGCAGTGATGAGATAAGGCAAAATACAAACATAGACTTTATTAAATGCTGCTCAATCCCCCAGTGAAGATCTTTCATTACAAAACAGTTTTCCACACAACTGCAAGTTAAGAGATTGGAATGGTACTCTGATAACAAAATTTATGAGAAATACTTGACCAAGTAAAAACATACAAGACCCCTATAGTCAACCTTCTTAGAACGCTACAGAAGCCAACTGCAGTTCTTTAAGTAAAGCCAGGCAGTGGCAAGGAGCACTTGGTGTCACCACACTGTGGGACACGACGCCCCCATCAGGAGGGACTGGAGGAGGGCAGGTGCTGAGGGCTGGAAGGGCCCTGCCTTCAGCCATGGGGAAGGGGAGGAAGAGGAATGAACTGAGACGCAGGCTGCGTGTTCACCTGCGCTGCCCCCACTAATCTGTGCTCATCATTCGGGAGTTGCAGATAAGGGAGATACTCATGAGGAGCAATCTGAAGAATTTGGTTTACTTTCCTAGCTTTTATTTATAAGTTGTGCTTTAAAAAGCCTGGAGATTTAAGTTTTTTGCTCAAATTCCAGAGTACAGTAATATTTCTAGTGAAGGGAGGCTTTTGGCAGGTAATTCCTCCCATCATATTTCTGAGAGGGACAAAGGGAAAGGCAAGGATTATACCTTAGTTTTATTTAGGAAATAGTTTTTTCCTAGGATGTAACTAAGGTCTGCAGCAATGTGAAAAGCACATTATAAAAGGGAAAAATATACAGAGCAGACTACTATATCTATGTGCAACACAATCAAAATAGAATTCAAGTCATAATTCTTACCACCCCCCATAATTATCTCACTCATATTATAGATGATAAAGTTCATTTCTGTGAAACTTCAGATGTGACACAATAAATCAATGATTAGACAAACGTTACACTATACTGCGGCCATGATATAGCACAGGGCTATGTTTAGTCCATGTATTTTTTCATTTACAGTTGCCAGAAAAAAATTGACCTTTTAATTATACTGTTGAGGTTTCATGATTTTTACATTTTTTAAAAAAGTATACAAAACTGTGCCTATCCCACAGAGGTGGCATGTTTCTCTTTATTCATTACTTGTATTGCTGAGAATACTGTGCATGTTGTAAGCACTGTTCTGGTTTTCTAGAGCTTTCTTTAGTTTTAGCTCCTCTAATTTTTTCCATAATTCTTCACGTTCCAATTCTTTCTTTTTCTCTCTGTAGATAAAGCAAAATTTTATTTCAGAACCTGAAGAACACAGTTTGGCAATTTGCTAGAAAACATAGTTCAGCCACATTACACTTCAATCCCTCTACTAAGGTGTTTGAGGACAATCGCCTGGAGCACCTCTTTACTCCTGGCCACTCTTTTATATCTGCTGCTCCTGTGCCAAACAAAAGTTACTACCTGCTTTGCCTCTTCTACATATTATCTCTACCACCACCGTGCCCACTATATCATTGGTGCTTTACAGTTTAAAAAATACTTTAAATTGAAAAAAAATTTAACTATCAATTATAGTTGACATACAAAAGTATATTAGTTTTAGGTGTACAACATAGTGATTGGACATTTACATAACTTATGAAGTGATCACCCTGGTAAGTCTAGTACCCATCTGACAACATACATAGTTATTATATCATTGACTATATTCCCTGTGACTGTGTTTGTAACTGGCAATTCGTACTGAATCCCTTTACCTTTTTTACCCATTCCCCCAACCACCCTCACATCTGGCAGCCATCAGTTTGCTCTCTGCATTTTATGAAACTATTTGTTCATTTATTTTGGTTTTTAGATTCCATATATTTAGGAAAACCAGATGTATTTGTCTTTATCTGACACAATTCACTTAGCATAATACCCTCTAGGTCCATCCAGGTGGTTGCAAATGGTAAGATTTCATTCTTTTTTGTGGCTGAGTAATATTCCATTGTATAAAACATAATCTTTTTCCATTTGTCTTATTAATGAATGCTTAGGTTATTTCCATAACTTTGCTATTGTAAATAATGTTGCAATGAACATGGGGGAGCATACATCTTTTCGAAATAGCATTTTGGATTTCTCTGGATATGTGAAAGTAGAATTGATGGGTCATGTATTTATTTTTAATTGAGAAATCTCCATACTCTTTTTCCTTAGTGGCCGCACCAGTTTACAGAGCACTGGGTTCTTCCTCCCCTCCAGTGGGGACTCTAGACTCGGGCACATGAAGCCATGTCACCAGCTACCACGAATCATCCATGTTTGGTAGAATTTCAGTTTTCAAGGGGATTTCTCAACATCACATCCTCTCCAATGCTTGGTTGTCAATTTATTGATAACCCTTCTGATAGGTGTGAGGTGATATCTCCTTGTGGTTTTAATTTGCATTTCCCTGATGTTGAGTATCTTTTCCTTTGTCTGTTGGCCATCTGTATGTGTTCTTGGGAAAATTTCTATTCAAGTCCTCCATCCTTTGTGTGTGTGTATTAAATTGTATGAATTCCTTATAACCCCTTGGCAAGTATCTTCTATTCAGTAGGTGGTGTTTTTTTTTTTTATTTTGATGTACGTACTTTCGTTTGTTTCTCTTGTTAGAGGACATATGTAAAAAAAAAATTAAGACAATGTCAAAGGGCTTATTTCCTATGTTTTCTTCTAGGACAGCGGTTATCAACCTGTGGGTCGCGACCCCTTTGGGGATCGAACGACCCTTTCACAGGGGTCGCCTAAGACCATCAGAAAACACATACATAATTACATTTTGTTTTTGTGATTAATCACTATGTTTTAAATTTTTTTTTTACTATAATTTTATGTTCAATTTATAACAATGAAAATACATCCTGCATATTAGATATTTACATTACGATTCATAACAATAGCAAAATTACAGTTATGAAGTAGCAAAGGAAATAATTTTATGGTTGGGGGTCACCACAACATGAACTGTATTAAAGGGTTGCGGCATTAGGAAGGTTGAGAACCACTGTTCTAGGAGTTTTATGGTTTTGGGTCTTAAAATCCATTTTGAGTTTATTCTTCTATATGGTGTAAGAAAGTGACAGTTTTATTCTTTTGTATGTGTCTGTCCAGTTTTTCCAGTATCATTTTTTAAAGAATGTGGCATTACTCCATTGCATATTCTTGCTTCTTTTATTATAGATTAATTGGCCATATAGGTGTGGTTTATTTCTGGGCTCTTTAACCTGTTCCATTGATCTATGTTTTCATGCCAGTACCATCCTATTTTAATTACTATAGTTTTATAGTATAGTTTATTAGGTAGCATGACACCTCCAACTTTATTCTTCTCTCAAGAT